TATATATAGTTAAAAACCCTCAAGTTTCAGAATCGTATATATGCTGCCCTGGCCGGGTGGCTCAGTTAGTTGCAGGTTCGATTCCCAGTCAGGGCCCATACTGGAGGCAGCCAATCAATGTTCCTCTCACACATCAGTGTTTCTCTCTCCCTTTCTCTCTGTCTCTATCTCTTTCCCCCATTCCTCTATCTCTAAAATCAATAAAAACATATCCTCCTGTGAGAATAAAAAAATAGTATACATGCTAAGACCTAATTTTTATATTTTAAAAAATGTTTGTATTCATACTTATATTGATTTAAATTTGATTTTTGTACAGGTACAATTCTTTATGGATATAACTCTCCACACAAACTTCCCCCCAAATAGGTATTGATTCTTTTAAAAGCCTTTGAGGAATAATAAGAGATTTTTTCCTTTAATTTGGGAATAATATTCACTTATTTATAAGTTCCAAAAGAATAGATATATCTCAGCTATTATATATTTTTGTGAACAGAAGAGACACTTAGGACAGAAACTCTTAAGAGCTTAAGGTCAAAACATTTATTTGCTAATTGAGATGCTGTTTAAGATGCTTTTAATTCCTAGTATAAAATAATTGATGATTAGAACATTGTGCACGGTAATAAAACTAAATTTCTCATTCTCTTTCTACCCACACATACACACATTTCTCAATAATTGATTTCTGAAACCATTGGTAATGTCTGTTACAAAGTGAAGACAGTGTTGTCTTGCCTCGGTGGGCGAGAGCTGACAGCACCTCCTTGTGTGTCTTCCTGAAAGCGTCCCACAGTCAGCATTTGTGAGCGACCTTCATTCTCCTTTGACAGACTCCACTGAGACAAAAAGTCATTCTTGGTTCTTGTTGGTTTTGGCTGGCAACCCATAAAAACTGTCCTATTTAGAAGCTACCAATCTTCTTAAATGTGTTCTTCTTGCAACAATTTTCTCTATAGCTATAGCTCGATTATTTAAATTGAATTATTTTCTCTTTAATTCATTTTCATGCTAAAACTAAAAGTCCATTTTTACCCTCATTCTACACACACTCTTCCATAATCCAAGTTTTTTCATGGTAGCCATTCCTTTTACAGTATAGGCGGACTGCGAGGCATGTTTGCAGGCCTGCTCAGGAGCGTTGGCAGGGAGGCGAGGGAGGAGAGAGTTGCCTGAATGTAGTGAATGTTCAAGGTAATGACTGACGCTACTTCCCAGTCACAGGGGGAATGGAAATGAACTGGGGAATCTAAAAGTTTCCAAATTCACCCACTTTATAACCTATTCATGACCAAACAACCTTTTTATTTTTAAATCCTCACTCGAGGATATGTTTTTATTGATTTTAGAGAGAAAGGAAGGGAGAGGGGGAGAGAGAGAGAGAACATTGATGTGAGAGAGAAACACTGATTGGCTACCTCCCGCAGGCGCACCAACTAGGGATGGGACCCGCAGCCCGGGTTTGTGCCCTGCCCGGGAAATGGACCCACGACCCTTCGGTGCACAGGAGGACACTCCAGCCAACTGAGTCACGTTGGCCAGGGCCAAATAACCATTTTTTAAAATGGGAGAATGGAGAAGTAAAATGCTGAGATATTCTAGATGTATATTTTCTAAAACATATTCCTTTTATTTATTTGTGCATACCATATACAATTGCCCCACTTCACCCAGCTTTGGACAGCACCTCTCTGCTCATATTGATGTGGGCAAGGTCTGAGGCAAACTGTTTTCCTTTTTCCGAATTTCACAATAAAAGGCTTTCGACAGCTCCAGTTATCTTAACTAAAAGTCACGTTAAATTTAACTGGGAATATGTCCTCCCACAGAGTTAAGGATACAGTTATATACAAGCATAGTATATAATTTGCTTATTGCATATTTGCATCTGTTCTTCAAAAAAGGTGCCCCATAATGTGATTAATAATAATTTTAAATGAATTTTTTTTACCTCCCTTCTTGCCTTATTTCATAATACAGAGACTTTCTGTTGTTGTTGTTATGTGGATCCCTAAGCTTGGCAAGTAAAAAGGGGGATGGATGAACTAACCTTTCTTCATTAATTTGCAATGACACTAATAGTGGCTGGTAACATTTTCTCATGAACCTCTTTTGAAATTTCATGAAGCTATGTACTGTCTCCCAAAGGGAAAAGTGCACAGAAATACAATTTTTTCCACAAAATTTCAAGGGTTTCAGAAGCCTCCTAAATATCATACATGAGTGTGGCTTGAGCATAACTGCTCCAGAACCAAATTCCAAATCATACTAATCAAAGAGAGCAAAGAGAATATTAGAACGTGAATTGAAAAGAAATTGTCCTTAAAATAAACATACATAATTTCTATATTAGTAACTTTTAACTGCACAATAATTGAAAATGTATGCAATTAAGAAATTAAAATTATAAATCACAACTTAGAAGGGATAACAATAGAAGAAGAAAAAGAACTGTTTAAAATGAAATCAAATAACTGCCCTTAAAGCTCACCCAAAATTACAAATATAAAACCGTATCCATAATAGAAGATATTTAAAGCCATGAATTGCTTTTTAACAAAGACTGTCAAAATATCCCCCAAATTTGAAAATGGTCAATCAATCAATAAATTTACTAGTAAAAAACAGTACCTCTAAAATTAATTTTCACTTTTTATTTATTTATTTTATTTTTTAAAATATATCTTTATTGATTTCAGAGAGAGGAAGGGAGAGGGAGACAGAGAGATAGAAACATCAATGATGCAAACGTCATCATTGAACGGCTGCCTCCTGCACGCTCCCGAAGGGATCAAGCCCACAACCCGGGCATGTGCCCTGACAAGGAATCAAACTGCCATCTCCTGGATCCTAGGTCGATGCTCAACTGCTGAGCCACGCTAG